GAGGAGGAGGAGGAAGAGGAAGAAGGAAGAAGAAGAAGAAGAAGAAGAAGAAGAAGAAGAAGAAGAAGAAGAAGAAGAAGAAGAAGAAGAAGAAAGAAGAAGAAGAAGAAGAAGAAGAAGGAAGAAGGAGAAGAGAGAAGAGAAGAAGAAGAAGAAGAAGAAGAAAGAAGAAGAAGAAGAAGAAGAAGAAGAAGAAGAAGAAGAAGAAGAAGAAGAAGAAAATAGACCCATAACATTCTCCACTGTAGGATGAGGCTAAAATATCTGGTCTGCCTGTTACCGGTTTCATCATACAAGATCTCATCAAAGGAGATTTTGTGCATAATAACCCTACCAATCCTTAAGCTTCATTTTCAGATGGAAGAACCAAATCATTATCAAAACTGCAAGAGCGTTAGCCAGTCTTCTCTGCAAGCTTCCTCGGTGTCCCTGGCCTTGTCTTTTCCCTTCACCTGTTCCATATCGAATGACCTAGTGTCTATATGTCACCTAACCTGCCGAGACAGCTCAGGACCCCAAAGTCTGTTCATTCTGGTTGGTGGCTACATTTGTCCCTCAGTACAGTTAGCCTGGAGGGGACTTGTGGAGTTCGAATGAGAGCCAATAGTGCCACCTGCTGGAATTTGCAAGGAGCCGGACCGAGAGCCCTGCGTGGTTCTGTCCCATTTGTTGTTTTAAGTCCTCGGAGTCCTAAGCCACATTGACTCAGAGGGCATTTCCACCATCTGTCCTCTTTTCTGATGCCAGAGTGACACCTTGTGCATTTCTCTTTTCACGTAATCTCTTTTCTCCCTGTGAGGATTCAGTATCTAAAATTACCACTAAAACGAGCCGTATTTCAGGGACGCCTGGGTGGCTCAGGGGTTGAGCGTCTGCCTTTGACTCAGAGTGTGATCCCGGGGTCCTGGGATCCAGTCCCAGCATCGGGTTCTGGGCAGGGAGCCTGCTTCTTCTGTCTCTGCCTCTCTCTTTGCCTTTTTCTCTGTCTCTCATGAATAATTTTTTTAAAACCTTTAAAAAATAAAAAAAGACTAGCTGTATTTCATTGCATTAGTTCTCTTAGAATCTCTTGCAAATTAGCTGACAGAATGTTGCCATGTGAAGGGATCTCAAAGATTGTCTAGTGCAGTGTTTTCAGACACGTTTTGAACACAGAAAGTCTTGCAAAGCCGTAACTGTAATCCTCATTTCAGACACCAGTAAACTGAGGCAACAAAGGTGAAAAGGCACAGCACTACGACCAGAGTTGCATCTCCTGATTCCCAAACTATTCCCTGTAGCAGTGAGCATGCTTTCAGCTATAAATTAAAAAAAAAAAATTAAAAATAGCAAATGTCTCACACGAAAAGTTTTGAGTGGCTCTGGGGATAATCTAAGGGCTGATTAACATCCCCAAAGACGCAGTTTCTCCCATTGTCCTCCCAGTTGTCCTCAGCTTGTCTGATTACAAGATGACTCCAGCAACACTAGGAACCCAAGATCAGAGGCTATATGGGGGCTAACGGTCTCTTCTCCACTGAGCTAAGAAATTTGTCCCAAAAGAAGCCTCAAGACTCTCCTCGTATCCTGTTAGCCAGAAAGGAGTGTTACATCCCATCGTCCATGGGTTACTGGCAAGGAGCATGAGGTTGCCATATTTGCCTTAGACAAATCCAGATGCGTGCTCTGGGTCTGGGGTAGGGCCACGTATGCCGGAAGCATATGATCCAATGAGAGTACAGACAAAACTGGAAAAGGGGGGGTGTTGGCCGTGCAGTGGAGGAACATTCTCCATGGATCTCCCCAATTTCTGCCTGTCTTCTGAGCAAGAGGCATCACTAGCTTTGCTCACACCTTTCTAAGGATGTGAGGATGGCAAACAGTCCCAGAAGACAGAGGTAGATTTCTTTCCTGACCAGGATGATGAAGCTAATGTCTCTCCTCAGGGCAAAAAGCATGTTGGTTTGCCAACAGCCAACCAGCAAAATCAAAGAGTGGAGTTTCTTAAGCTCAGGTTCCTTGACAGTGATACAAGCTCGCGGCCTACGCAGCCTCCATCTGGGCTGCTCCGCATGGAAGTGGGGGGACGAGAGAAACCAATGTGGATCCCAAGCCCATGCTGCCCGCTGCACCGTGAATAACAACGTCTTTTATCTCTGAGCCAAGGGCCTCCTGTCTTCCGCCAACACCCGTGAAACCATGGGAGACTAGGCTGTCAGTTTGTAAGTAGGGGAAAACCTCTGACACCTGCCAGTTCTTGACACCCACACAAAGACAACCATCAGGGTTTGCTACAGTCTTCTGTCCAGTGAGCCTCCCTGGACACGTCCCATCCCATTCTCACACACTCATTTCTGGAAGTAAGATTACTTTCGGTGTGTAAGAAACTCCTTCTTTACTAGGAGAAGCAGGGAACGCCGCAGTCTCCAACCGGGCACACGCGTGGAGTAAGGGCCGTGTCATTGGCTCTCGTGTCTTTTATGCGGCCTCCCTTTTATTCGCTCCCTGAGTCTCTCTGTAATTATCTCTTTTAAAATGTCAGCTCCTCTCACCCAGAAGAGCAAGAGCAATCAGCCACAAACTGAACTTTAGAAGCTTTTAAAACCCACTTGCTGTTCGACTGGGAGATGGATTCTCAAAGGCATCCCTTAGCCAAGTCAGGGAAGCTGACACCGAGCGACTGAGAAAAAGGAGCCCTTTGCTTGGCAGTCACGCTGGGCCTGCAGCAGCGCCTTCCTCGGGAAGCAGGGGAAGGGACGTGGGAGGTACAAGGATTGTGACTATTTGCACCTCAGAGCCGGAGAGACTCCTTCAGGAGGAAGCTGCTTTCAGATGCTTTGGACCACGACCACGACCGCCTCTTACTGTGCCCAACTGGGACCCTAGAGGCTTCTCTTCCTTCTCTAGAGTGAAGTGTCAATGTTAAGAAGAGCGTGGGCCAGAGGAAAAAACATGGGACAAGCATGTGTGACTCTGCTAGTGTGACAAGCAGAGATAAAAGTATGGACGTTTCCTAGCTAACTGTTGGTGCTCAGAGTTTCCCCAGATGGTGACAATGTAAAGACCTGGACAAAAAATTCATCAGAGCAGGAACAGAGGAGGAGAGGAAATTAGAGCAGCGTTTACCCCTCCAAGTCAAACCTTGGGGTTAAACTCAATTTATCCCTAAATCCTATTTCCCTGATGGTTGTTGATGCCTTTAAAATGAAACCATCTTTCCTACTTAGCTCAGGAACCCGCTTGCTCTTGCTCTCCTGACAACTTGCATTTAAAAATGCATCTGCTAACACGTAGCGCTACATGAACAAAACAGCTTCAATCCGGACGCGGTGGCTACTTCTCCCCACTGACTCTGCCAGAAACCTAGGGAATGATCGTTCGGTCCACGCGTCCCAGGCTCGTCCACCTGCATTCTGACATTTCCGTGGAAACCTCGGTGAAGGTCACCGGCGTCCACTGAGTCACAGGGACCCCTGGAGGCAGGCGCTCCTAATGTAGGGGGGATGCTTTACGGAGGACACGTAGATTCACCACAGGTGTTAAAATTAAACTTCTCTTTCTAATGACATAAAGGACCAAAATTCCTTGGTACAATTAGGTTGATTAAATGGAGCTCGGCGTCCAAAAATCCCTGCAGCTTCGAAAAGTTAATGCAGCTTTCAGAGGGGCCTGACCCAGAGGCAGGGAACAGTCGAGGTCCTGGGAGACTCTGGCCCACTGTGGTTTTTAAATTAGAAGTTTGATTGCTTGCGACACCATCTCAAAATGCTACCAGTCCACAGAAGCTGAATTTCCCATTAGCCGGGGCGGGGGCGGGGGGGGAATGACAGATATTTAATTAAACTGCTTAGAGATTAGGCGGAAAGCTTAGTGGATAGATAAAGGGGCCGAATCTCTTTATAAGCAAAGTCAGGAAATCCACTCGGGTGCCACATCTTTAATGCGGAAAGGAACTCACCAAGCCGAGGAGCTGGGGACCTGGGTGCCGCTTTCGCATTAGGCTGCCCCTCCTGCCAATCGCAAGAAAAATGCACATTCAAAAGGCGTGTTTATAAGCGTTAGGTGGTCACTGAGGAAATTAAAACCTAAACTGTGAAGTAGGAAAGCTCCTTACAACCAAAGCTGCCAAAGCAAACCACCCTAATCCATTTTTCTCTTGTTGAAAGGTGATTTATTACGGACTTTGAGCAGATCCCTGAAAAAAAAAAAGAGTGATGTGTGGTCAGTGCTGGAGGCGCAGGTTATGAGAAGGATCGGGCATTCCAGATGGGGAATGGCCTTGCTGTCCGGCAGATGGTTGCTCTGCAGGAGTCTTGAGCCTCCTCGTGGGTAGCCACGGCGGCCCAAAGAGATGCAGGGCACCTTCGTAGCCCCAATGCTCACAGCTCCCCAGCCTTCAACAGGAACCCCAAGGGACTACTTTAATGATAAACAGTTTCATCAGCTCTCCCACAGTAGTAGCTCTCAACCCCAGCTCTATATTCATATTTTCCAAGGAGCTTTGAAAACTACCAGTGCTCTATGCCAGACCAGCTGAGCCAGAATCCCCGCAGATGGAGCTCCTCCATAAAGCTCCCCAGGAGCAAGTGCCTGTCCTGGGAGCTGCTGAAGAGGTACCCCGTGCGCAATCAACAGGCCAGGGGCTCTGAAGCCTGACAAGCCTGGGTGTAGGTCCTGGGCCCGCTGCCCATATAAACGTGAGACACCAGCATGGGCTTGACTCCTCCAGGTCTGGGTTTGCTTATCAGGAAAGAGCCGATGGTGGCAACCTCTTGACAAGCTTCTAAAGACCAAGTAAGATCAATGTATTCCTGGTTCCCAATCCCTCCCCTCGGAGGAAATATGATTAGAGTGGATTGATGTTTTATCCTTCCTCAAATGATTTAGCCATGAACTTTTGTGGCAAATGACGGGCTTAGATGATTTCTCTCTCCATGCCTTATCTTTCCACTAGAAATCACTGCTCTTTGGTATCTGGGGGAAAAATACTCATGTGCCTTTCATGCTTTCTGCTCCTCCAGCTGCCACCGAAGTGTCCTTTTCATTTGATGTCGGAAATGGGCCCGTGGAGATTGTGGTGAGGTCGCCGTCCCCTCTCAATGATGACCAGTGGCACCGGGTCACCGCGGAGAGGAATGTCAAGCAAGCCAGTTTGCAGGTGGATCGGCTGCCACAGCAGATCCGCAAGGCACCCACAGAAGGTCACACCCGCCTGGAGCTCTACAGCCAGCTGTTTGTTGGTGAGTGATGGAAAGGCCTTTGTAACTTCCCTCCGTTGTCGTTGTTGTTGTTTTAAGATTTTATTTGTTTAGAGACAGGGAGTGCACCTGGGTGAGTAGGGAGAGAAAGGGAGAGAATCTCAAGCAGACTCCCTGCTGAGCACAGAGCCCACCATGGGGCTCAATCTCAGGACCCTGAGATCATGACCTGAGCCAAAACCAAGAGTAGGACGCTGAACCGACTGAGTTACCCAGGGCCCCGCCCCACCCCTCATTGGCTTTAATAACCTTCACAATGGAAAAAAATAAAACAGTCTCTGGAATGTGTTGATAGAGATCTTTCCAAAAGTAAGGGGCTAGGTTCCGGGTAGTCTCCATCAAGACAGAGTGGAAGGAAGAAGATGACTCGGGAAACCTAAATCTGGCTTTGCTCTCACTCTCCAGAGCTCATGGTCCTTCGCTACAAGATCAGAGGGCAGGCTGGGGTCTCTCTGAGGTGCCTGGTCTGCTCACTGTTAGGTCTGTGGTTTTAGACCTGTATAAAATTCTGTGATAATTTAGGGCACTTGCAACTGTAAAGAAAGAAAGGAGGGAGGGAGGGAGGGAGGGAGGGAGGGAGGGAGGGAGGGAGGGAGAAAGAGAAGGAGATTAACTCCCTCCGTTTAGGTTTGCTTGAAATGATAAGTAGAAATCTATTATTCCCTTCCCTGCTCATCCTCAGGATTCCAGGCAGAGAAAGATGTGACCTCTCCCTTTCATACTATCTTTGCATAAGAAAGAGATCAACACTGAGCAATTCCGAGCAAAAGTTTGCAAGACGTCCATCTAGCCTCACCATCTGGTCTTTGCTTTTGACATATTCCAGCTGAAGCCAATGTTATTTCAAATCAATACCTGTTTCCATGACGAAATATTAAATTTTGTTTTCCCGGAACACTAATGTTTTAAGAAATGAGCCATTTTTCCTCTGTTGAGTGACAGGAGAACGAGTCTGAAGGACTTTATAGCTATGTGCCACCTCAGACCCCCCTCTCGGAGTTTCTGGGGGTTAATTGATCGAGTCAGTCAACTGTGGCAACCCCAGCCCAAGCAAAGCCAGACGCGACCTGGTTGCTGTTCCTACCACCTGTCACCCCACACTAGAGTCTCACTGAGGGTCAGCTAATTTTAACAAGGGCCAGAGCCCTGCCGTGTCCTTCATAATTGTGTTGGAATGCTTTAAGAACATTAGAAAGTCACCAAAAGAGAGGTAACATCGGATGTCAACTCCTTTGGTGCCATGTGGGCAGACAACAAATGTGTTAACTTAGCTTTGAAAGTAAGAGTGACTCGTTGCCAAGCCATGTCATCAGGGCCGTGACAGTCACAGGTTCTGAGATAAAATACTCCTCGACCCCAACCAGAACCCAGCCCCTTCCAAATCCCGCCCTCACGCCGTACTCAAAATTACACATTAGTCTTAAATTATTTTTTATTAATTAAATATCCGGGCTGCTGATTCCTGCTGCATATCATGAGCAGATTTCACTGTATCGATCCATCTTGCCCAGATTACCTGGGATAAGGTTGTTTTCCTCAACCGTGTCCATCTCAAGCATGCTAGTTAAGTCCTACCTGGTTTCCATAACAGGTGACCCTAGCTGACCCGACTTTCTTATTTTTCTGAACTTGTCTCTGGGTATAGAGATCCAACTTTCCTTCTCTCCCTTTCTTTCCATGGACTAAAGCTATCTTCGGAAATGTTGGAGACCAAATAAAGTCATAAATGGGAAGAGATAGGGGGAGCATTTATGACGGTCTCAAAAAGAATTTTTATTCTGCTTAAACAAGAGCAACTTCCAGGAAGAGAACAGTAGAGGGCCAAAGTCACAATTCGACAGAACAATTGAATTTTAGAGACAGGCAGAAAAACAGCATCTCAGGAGGAATGAAAGGGGAATGGGAGGAATAAGCACGGAAGAAAGGAGCAGAGGAGAGGCTTCCGTGAAATTCTCTGTGTTTGCTATCGCCAAGTCAGAGCAAGGGCTGGGTGTAACATCAGGCCAGAAAACATGTTCTCGGAATTTAGGAATTATGGAACCTGGTGACCTGGGAAAGAAGCTGCAGAACAGGGGCGCTGCCGTGATGAGTCAGCAGCTGCTTTTCACTTCTGAAAACGAGGAGGTCCATGTCCCATTTCTAATCTCCTGTCATCTCAGAGGTGGGCAAGGTGCGCACCCCCCAGACACAAGCGATTTTGCACCAGTGTGAAAAAATATCGTTCTGCAACAGACATCCTTCCCAGAGGAGGAGAGGGAGACTTGTTTCCAGAAAGAAAATCAGCTCAACGACCGTGAAATCCTAGAGCCAGTTACCACAAGACTATGCTGTAGGGATTCGGGGGACCCGAGAGCTGTTCTGACTTCAGCTCTCATGAGACGCTCTGTCCTGACCCAGTGTCACCACTTTCCCTCTCGAGCCTCCTTTTTCATCTGTCTCATAAAGGAGTTGGGTTTGTTGGTCTCTGGAATTTCTTCCCGCGTCAACCATTTGTGATTTCGTGTTTGGACATGGGTTAGGGGGGGCCTCAGATGCTGAGCCATCATCCTTCCCACGGTGTTGTGTGGCTCACATGGGCTTTGGATCCCAACTCTGCCCCCACAACCCCCCAAGGAACCACTTGCAGGTGACTCAGTATTTCTGTATGGAATAGGGGTACAGTTCCCACTTCTCAGGGGGGATTGATACCATCTAGGAATAGCACTCTGGAGTGAAGTCCAACTCCTGAAATGTGAGTTATTTCTTTATCTTTGCTTTTACCTTTACTCCTTTAGCTTTCTTCCTGCATGTAACACTCGCCCCCTTCTACAGAACCAGCTTCCAACTGGCTCATTTCTCCTTTCCTAAAGTACTGGCCTGATACATGGTCACTCTAACCCACACACCCCGAAGGAAAGTCCCCATGGTGCAAACACTCCCTCAATATCCAAAATCAGGCTGCAGTTACTCCACTTACCTGTCGCAGTGGCCACAGAGCAGGAGCAGCAAGCAAGAGCCCAGAATTGCTCTCAGTTGGCCAAGAAGCCTGCAAGCATCCATGTGAAAACATCACAGGGGCATCAGAGTCACAGCCCAGACATGTGGCAGAGCTGCCCAAGAGCTCCTTCTCCATTCTAGAAAAGAGGTGCTTTGACTCGGCCTAAAGCTAAAACGGACTGGAAGTCCTTCTTGGCTTTACGCACAGAGTGGGCTCTAAGGGGAGGGCCAGGCTCGTGTGTCCTTCCTCAAAGTCACTGGAGAAACAGGGAAGAACAGTCCCCCTCACTCGACATCTAAAATATAATTAAAAGCTGTCATCGAAAGGGAACTAACACAGGTCTGTAGACAGTGATTCTCATTTCTATGAGAATGATTATTACAGCCACGATTCTGCCTTAGTCAGAATAAACTTAACAAATAAACAAATAAACTTAAACACAAAAGGTGCCATGAGAAGAAGGAAGCTGTGGCTGGTATTTGTCTGAAAAACGCAGGAAACTTCCTCATGTTTTTGGTCCAACCATGAGCAACTAGCGTATGATGAGCTCCTGGGATGGCCCAGCAGAGCCCCTTAAACCACATGGTGGTCTGTAGCTTCAACCAGCCCGGGTGCTCAGACCAACACCCTCCATGGCAGCCAAGGGCCCTATTTTTCCTAGGACGCAGAGAAGGGCAGACATGCTCAAGGTCACTATCCAGGCATGAGCAATGCCAGGCTGGATTGAGCCAGAGCCCGCTTTGGCACAGAGAGTCGGGGGAGTTGGGAGCCCTGGCCACTGAAGCGACACCGTCAGGGCTATGAGGGGGCCAGGGTGTCTGCTGGGCCCTCAGCCTGCAGCCAGCGGCCAGCCCGGGGCATGGTCAGGGAGCTGGCGAGGGTGAGCCATCGAGGAGAGCCAGGCAGGCCATTCAAGGCAGGTGGCTGGCGGAGGAGTTGGTTTTCAGCAAGCCAGACGCAGGCCAGAGCATGTGACTGTGCTCGGTGGTAGTTTGAGGAGGAGGCCAGAGTTTGGGAGAGCGGGAGGCTGCTTCGGGAAGGTTCGGGAAGATTCAGTGGCCTAAGTGGCTCTTTGAGAACCCGAACTAATGACAAATGTTCCGGGTCAACCGCTTGACCCCGACCTCTTGTGAAATTTCTCTGGAGACTAAAGGAGACCATCCCTTCTGTGCAAGAGGTAGCCCGAGAGGAGGTGGAAAGCCATGCTCCATGCTCGTTCCTTCTGGATCTTCTATGCTCTGCGGACGCCTGGCAGGAGACAGGAGGAGCTCTGTCCTCAGACCTCGGGGCACAGGGGAGCAGCAGAGCCTGCAGGCTTCTCTTCCTCCAGCAGTTTATCTTTCAGGAAACTCCTCCCGAGCTGCCACTTGAGTTCATGGATGACTGGAAGCTTCTTAAATGGACTTAGAAGTCAATGAGGACAGAGTGCTATGACCGTTCACTAAGCGACGTTGCATGAGCAACCCCATAAAACAGCCCAACTTCCCCCAAACACCACGATGTGATTTGTTTGGTCAGCTGTTGCTCACCCCCTCTGGATTCCAAAGTCCTGAACGGCTAATTCCCCTGCCATCCGAAACGCAACGGCGATGGGAGAGGAAAGAGAAAATCAGCATCTGTTGTCTGCGAGGGAGAAAAATGGACCTCCAGTCGTAAAGCGCACCCAAATCTGTGTGTGAATAGAACGGTCCTTTTTAGTATCCAAAAAGTCTAGAATACAAACTGTACAGTCCAGACGGCAGGAATCAAAACACAGAAAATATGTTGCTCGTTCCCATTTCCTGCAAGCCTGCCTCAGTGGCAACAACGTGAGCGCTGGCTGACTTGTTCCGAGCGACACTTCGAAGCCAAGTGCCCCCACGCTTTGTTCAGCTCCCCTAAAGCAAATACCATGACTGATTTCTGCTGGATTTTCACACTGGAGGAACTAAGGCTGAGGATTAGTTAGCAGCCCAAAGTGGTGCAGCAGCTGGTAAGGGACAGAGGCGAGATTTGACCCCTCACA